ATCGACTTATTTTTTATTATTTCATTCAACTAAAGAAGTTCAATCACATTTTATACAATTTACGTGAGCAAATTTTATTGATACTAAATAGTACTTCAAGATTCGTATGAGAAAATATATATATTTCTACTAACTTTAGTCAAATGAATTTGTGAAAAAGTGAGCAACTATCGACTTATTTTTCATCATTTTGTGTAACTAAAGTGAGATAATTATCATTTATTTAATCCACCAATACATACTCTCGAGTTCCTTGTAACAAAATATATTTCCATCCACTTTAGTAAAATGAAGTTAGTCAAGAATAATAGCTTGAACTATCATCAGCTGCCTTATTTATATTTTGCGAAACTTATAAGTCAGTATTTTGTATTTTTTTCAGCGTAACCTTATTGTAATATATTTTTTAAATTCTCGTGTGAAATTTTCTTACCGAATACCACTCTAGCTTCGATTAAAAACAGGAAATTCTTTCTCCAACACGAATATTTAGAAAATTCTCCCTCGTCTAAATATTTGTGTTCTCGAAAAAAATCCGGTATATAATTGAAGCTCTCGTGAAAATTTTACATACATGGTGATTCAAAAGAAAACGGCATCCTTTCTGGGGCATATTCCTTGCATGAAAATAAGGCAAAAAGTTCCTATTGATAAAGGTCCGAAAATGCTTTCCAAGGGAGCTACGCATCTTCGGATAGGACACCTCAAAGATGATTTTATCTCTATAATTTTAAAATCATTCACAATAAAATTTCGCATGAAAATTTTATGGAAAATGAGACCCTCCATTCAAAATTTCAAAATTTCATTCAGGGGCGTCACATGCGGCGGAGGGTAAGTGTAAAAACATCCCTTCTTCTTTTGATATTCAGGTTATTGTGATTTACGCAAATCAAAAGGTTTTCAGAGTACCCTTTTTACGTGAAAAATTCTAGAATTTTATAACTTTCAAACGAAATCACAATGACCTGAATATGAAAAGAGGAAGGGATATTTTTACACTTACCCTCCCCGCATGTGACGCCCCTGAATACAATTTTGAAATTTTGAATTCAGAGTCTTATTAACCATCAAATTTTCATGCCGTACACCAGTTTTCGAAAATTTATTGTGAAGGATTTTAAAGTTATAGAGAAAAAATCGTCTTTGAGGTGTACTATTCAAATTGGTATAGCTCCCTCAGGAAGCATTTTCCGACCATTGTTATCAGGAACTTTTTGTCTTATTTTCATGCAAGGAATATGCCTCTAGAAGGATGCAGTTTACTTTTGAATCACCCTGTATAGGGGGAGTCATAAGGAACTGTACATACTCCTACCTCGAATAGAGGCCCCTGATGGGAATACCTATAATGTCCATCAGAAAGTGTCTTCTACACTTCTTTTCCAATATATAGGGTGAATTATGAGATTTGACAAAAACATCTTTTGGTCATAACTTTCCAACAGCGTCTTCGATTCGTCTGATTTTTTCTTGGAGTATTTCGCTACTACTCTCTAATCGACTGACTTATTCAGAATCGGGAAAATCTAGGACCGTCCTTGAAAATTTTTGATAGTTTAGTTTATAGCAAAAATTTTATCCTATATATCGTTTTTTTGGAATTTTCAAAGGTCACAAACAAACATCGAAAATAAAGTATTTCAAATTTTCCTCACACTCTCACTGCAGTTTGAAAAAAGCTATAAATTTTATGAAAAAACAAAAATTTTGCAAAAAAATCATTTATTTGGCAATTAATACTTCGCAACCCATAAATCCCACGAATAAAAGTGAGACTTAAATTTTCAATACTTCAGCTCTATGGAAATCAACATATCACTTTATTTTCAGGCCTGGATTTAATAATTAAATATTTTTGTGGAGGATAATAATCACCCTGTAGATCTCTGTCGAACCAATGGATGAGGTATATGTGAAAATGTTGATGGTCATCGCTATTAATGATTTTATGATTTCAATCAACAGTTTTATCTATTCGATTTGCTTTATTTAGTTAATTTGGTCACTTATTTTCCGTACTAGAATTATTATCCGCCTTTGTCAGTATAGCTTTTGAAAACTAATTGTGAGTAAACCTTCATTTTCTGTTCGACTTCCTCGAATTATTTGAATCGATGACTATTAACATCTGAACAGATACCCCATCCACTGATTCGAAAAAGATCTACAGGGTGATTATTACCCTCAACAAAAAATGAAATGACAAAATTCAGGCCTGGAAATGAAAGAACATGTTGATTTTCATTGGGCTACAGCATTGAAAATGTGAGTCTTACTTTCATTTGTGAAATTGATGCGTTGCGAAGTAATTATTTTCGAATGAATAAAATTTGTTGTCAAACTTTCGTTTTTGCTTATAATTTATCGGTTTTTGAAAAATTCTGTGAAAGTGTGGGGAGGATTTTGAATATTTCATTTTTGAAACTTGTTTGTGTGCTTTAAAAATTCCTTGTCACAGTATACAAACACTTTATATAGGATGAACTTTTTGATGAAAACTAAACTATCTAAATTTTTCAAAAACGGTCCTGGAATTTTCCGATTATGAATAGGTCAGTCGATTAGGGTTCAGTAGAGGAATATTTCATAAATAAAATCAGACGAATCGAAGGAGCTGTTGAAAAGTTATGACCGAAAGATATTTTTGCCAAATCTCATAATTCACCCTATATATTGATTGGTAAAGAAGAGAAGAAGACACTTTCTGATGGTATTTAGGTATTCCCTTCAAGGGCCTCTATTCGTGCTAGGAGTATGTACAGTTCCTCATGACTCACCCTGTATACCTAGTTAAACGAGGGCCCCTCTACATGTTCCCTTATTGACGCTTATGAATTCAGGGACCAAAATGCGAAATATCTACAATCACTCAGTATTTTTTTTTTCAATTTTTTATTGAGACCGACAGAATACTTTCATTTTCTTGTTGTCTTGCATCCTAAGTACCATGCATACAACGCATTTCACGCTATCTGGTTTGACATTCACCTTTCTTAGAAGAGAAATGAGAAACTGCTACAGTTATTATCCGCGAAAAAATGAAAAAAAAAATACAAATATCTCTGCCGGCTAGGTGCAACAAGGAGTAATGATATATCGCTAGACTGCACGGAGAATAGATTTAATAGCTATGAAATTTATTCTGAAACGCTTCTACCGTTGCTCTATACAAGGATGTATTGATATATTCTTACGACTGCGCAATCAATGTCTGTCATGGTTCACATGTTGATCCTGATCCTAAATCACTATACTTATTCATAACTCTATTATATTCTTTTTCAATTTTTACCTATTCCACAGCGGTTTTAGAGGGTGTTGAAATTTGATTACTTATTGAAGGACTTCATGGATAAGTCCGAAATGGGTGTTTTCAGACCCATGTTATCATGTATCATTGAATTCGTCTTTCTTAGCTCTATCCAAGGATGAGATTGAAATACAGGGCGTTCCATTCGAAAATTCCGAGAAAATGATCGGTTTGCAAAATACGTCATCACCTTTATTGGTTATTTCAAATGTTCTTAATATTGACAAAATATCAATATAACATATAAAATATAGAATTTGTTAATTCATGATGAAAACTGCGCATCTAAAACTTAATTCTCAACGTTTTTATAGGGCTTTGAAATTTGGCTATTTATTACTGACCGCGCAGTCAATGCGTCTGTCATGGTTCACATGTTGATCCTACAACTTTTATATTCGAAGTTTTCTTCATTTCGTATAGTTGAAGATGTTGGTAGGGATCAAAATATAGAGAGACACCCTGTACATGTGAAACCCCCGACTTTAAAGTCGGGATCCCGAGATTAAAGTCGGGGGTTAGACTTTAAAGTCGGGGTTCGAAAAACAGAAGTATAGGTGGCCCTTCAGCGCCTTCGTACGTACTATAGATTCTGATGACTCAAGAATGTTTTTCTACTGGCTTCATGTTATTTTTTTCATACACTGCAGTTGATAAGTCATGCATGAATTCATCAAAACCTAGGGGTAGATATCATTCAAATAATAATTAAAACAGACTATAGGATTTTGAAATATTTGAAACTTGTTCCATATTTATAGTATGAGAGCCTGTGACCGGCAGACTTACGGTATGCTGTTAGCAAACTTCATATATTATACCTCCTCGCACTAGGTCGCCCATACTAGGTGTTCATTCAGATCGACAATGGTTTTTTGTATCAAAAAGTTCAATGGCAAACGCTCATTGCGGTTCCAAGTATGTTTCATAGAGTTTCAAAACTGAAATTTATATATAATATTCTTATTGATATCATGATATAAATAATAATAATAATAATTCTTTCTTTGTCATACTAATGAAGGTGTATGATATTGACACGCTCACTCTTACGAATGAGAGTGAATCAGTGTCATACAATGTGGATAGTGTTCATAAATGTTATGATTTGTCATTCTTATTCCAAATAATGAATATATAATATCTTCTGAAGTAATATACACTGTCCCAGCTAAAATGTCCCCCCTTGTAAAAAGTAATACCGCGATCGAATGACTTTTTTGTCTCCCAGTATACTTGAAGATGCTTACTCGAAATTATGCTATTGAATGATTTCTATGTATACAGGGCCACACAGAAGTGTACGTAAACTTTCATCTCTGAATATATAGAGACACCCAGTATATTATTTCATTACCGAGGCGATTACGAAATAACACAGTTATGGTTTTCGAGAAAATCACGAACCAATAGGTTGTTCCGGATTGTTCTAAAAAACGTCACCATCAGAGACTACCCACTTCCTGATTTTTCTCGAATATTCTATCTGAGTCTGCGTACGCGTTTCTCCAGGTAGGCACATCTTCCCCCTAAATACGCCACTGATCCAGTGAAACATTTGTATAACAAAAAAGGAGAGACAATTACTAATTACCGAAGGTTCAGTTAATATTTAACATTATATTCGTTGTTATCTTCACATTTTCGATTCCCGAACAGCTAGTATTCAACAATTATTTCTTTTCAGATATCAACTAGTACAAGAATCCGCCCCACAACAGCTCCCTCAATACATCGCCGAATCCAACCTCCCCAACCACATCCCCCAAAACTACCAGTTCCTCCCCGCCGCCTCCCCCTTCAACTACCAACCCACCCCCATGCCCACCACCCACATGTCCCCCGTCCAACCAGAAACATACCCCCACCACCTCTCCCAGATATCCCAACTCGCCACCCAACAGTACGCTAGCCCCGCCCACAAATACGCCGATCCCGCCTACCGCTTCTCTGGCCCAGCCAACCAGTTCGCCGGCCAATCGCAGCAGTTCTCTGGCCCAGCCCACCAGTTCGCCGGCCAATCGCAGCAGTTCTCCGGCTCCGTCCCGGATTACCTGAGCTCCGCGCACCAGTTCCAGTTCGACGCAGAGTCGCGTGGCGCAGGTGGGAGTGGCCAGGTGGGCGTGCCAGTGCGGTCTTTGCCGCCAATCATAACGGGCTTCGAGAATTTCAGTCCGGAGCAGCAGGAGAAGATCAAGGAGCAGCTGAGCGCGCATTTCGGGGCGCCTTTGAAGCTGCTGCATGGGAAGGAGAGCGCAGGGCAGTACCAGGGGTTGAATGACGGGGGATTCGTGCCCAGCCAGCAAGTGAAGGAGGGGAGGAGTGGTAGGAGCAGCAGTATCATGAGTCTGACGCCGAATAAGAGTCAGAAGATGTAGGGGATTTTTAATTATTGTTTGTGATTTTATTTAGTTGAGGGCCAAGTTATTGAATGAAGGTGGTGAATTTCCCGAATCCTTGATTGTTCAGTTTTTCCAGAGCAACTTCTGAATGAATAATACACAGAACCCACATGAGTTCATTAGGAAGTAGGTTGTACTACTATACAGGGTGATTCATTGAGAATGAGAAATCTCTGAACCATAGATAGTAAACACTAAAATATTGAGATTGAGCCCAACATGCCTGATAGGAATTTTGGTGGTTCTGGAGAAATGAGTGAAAAACCTGAAAAGCCTGTTCAACGTTACATAAAAAAATGTGATATTTTTCGAATCGTCTAATTCTAACGGTCTCTGCGTTATTCGCTTTTGAAGAGATTTATGTTCCACTTATAACATTTCAATAATATTGAATAATAAAGTTAGCAAAGCGATAGTAGAACACGGTAATTGATGACGACAATCACTATTAACAGATAGATAAACAGAATTTTTTCAAAGTAAATGTTCGACCATCGTTAAGGAAACATTTAAAATAATATTTTCCCTTACCAACATCATTTATATAAGACATGTTGGGTTAAATCTTCATATTTTGGTGTTGGATATCTGTAATTCAGATATTTCCCATTCTTGATGAGTCGCACTGTATAGATAACTACCAAATTAATCAAAAACTACTAGAATAATCAGTACCCAGTATTAAGTCAGTACTAAATGAATATTGAAATACAAAATTAAATTACTATACAGGGTGATTTCTGAAGTTGCTTCAAGTTGAAAATCAATTTTGATGATCTGAAATGTGAATGCAAATATTTGTTGATCCTACTATGAGAAGGCTTTTATTTATTTTCCTCAAGTTTAACGTCAGCGACTGTATTTTATCTCGAGTGGAAACGTATATACATAATATTACCTAATTTTGTCTAATGGTGACTTTTTTTCAATGATTTAAAACATGTTGCCCTCGCATGCTTCCTGTTATGTAGGAGAAAATTATGATGATTGTATACAAGTAAATTTGAATCGCCTATTTCCATTCAATTGTTGCTGGATATCTATCAGAATTTGCAGAATTTTAATTGAAAAACTCAGAATCTACACTGCCTGCATATAAGTTTATAAGTACCTACTGAAATGGAAGAGTTAAAACTATCAATTGGTACATTCAACCTGTATATAGTTGTTATAGGTATGGTTTTATAATTACATTTTATTTTTGTAAGCATTGTTATTTATTTATATAATTGAAATTATAAATAATGTATTTTGTTTTTCATTGTTTTTAAATCAAATGCCTATCCTATGGTCAAGAAATAATATACCTACCTACTTTACTGGAAGTTAAATTTTTCTATATTCAACAAAAACACGCTATTTCACAAAATAGTTAACACTTAACTTTCACAGTAATCTTCACTAATCTGCTTTCTCAAGGTCAATTTCGTTTCAAAATAGATTAATTGCAGACTAAGAATTTTAATTACTATAGTTATTATTATAAAATATCGTAATTTCCCGATACGAGTAACTTAGGCATTCTACATAATTGATGAAATTCTGAATTATTATACCAGGTGTTTCATAATAGATGTCAAGAATATTGGGCATCTTCATTATTCGAACGGTCAAAACACATTTTTTTATATGAATTTCGTTTGCTTGATTGCTAAGTTGGATTCCAAATCCAAAATGGCCTTCAGGGCGGTACTAAACAGGGTGTAGCTCCATAAAATACAGCCCCCATCTTCTTTGGATGCAGTTTTTTTTATTTGATCATATTATTATAAAATCTGAATTTTCAACACTGTTCTTCCTTACCTGACAAGAAGTTATCACAAAACATATTGTCAGTAATTATAATAAAATGAATCACGTTCTGATTTTTGATCATGCATAATTCCAAGATATTTGACCGCCGTATGAACAAAAATGACTATAACATCATGTTCCAGTAATTCATTGCCTGAGGGAATATTCCCAAGAACTTATGATCTCCAAAAGTCGAAAAAAATACCTACCTCCTCTTCCTATACTTTCTAGGTACGCACGATGTTCTTCGAACATTATAGGAATTTCCTTTCGTGCGCTCTAAGAGATAAAAAAAGACGGGTAGACTAATTTTTTTCATTTCTTGAATAGAATCATCACTCAAATACCTTTCAATTTCATATTTTTTTAGAATTTTTTGGTCGATTTTATGGTGCCAAAATCATCAATAATGCCACGGTAATTTTCGAACGGCTAGAAATTGACCGCGAGTAAAAAGTGACGTCAGGATTTCGTGAGTAGGGACAGACCACAAATAGTACGGTGTTATTAACCTGAAAAAAGGCCTAACCTTGACATCCAAAGTAAAAGTTTTATTCCAACTCCAAATTGTTCTATATAACCCTCTTATCGTTTGGTAAAAAGTTACACCATTTTGACCGTCGGGTTTGGGGGTGAGGGGGAGGGGAATTTGAAAAATCACTAGTTTTTTTAGTTTTTCGTAAATATTTCAAAAACTAAGCGGTTTATCCTAAAAATTGTTATATACAAAAATGTTCTACGTTAAATTTTAAATAAGAATGGTCCTTTTCATAATCACTCTAAATTGTACGGTTCAAGAGTTACAGACGGTGTAAATGTTAACTTTTTCGTAATTTCGATAATTTTTTTAAAAAATAAGCTTTGTAAAAGAATGTTGCTATTTCAGTGGCCGGTGGTATGTTAGTGATAAGCTCTTGAAGAAACGACAACCTCACCACCTTATCAAGGGGCACTCTTTTTTAAGGGAAAAGAGGCTTCCACAGGCCTAGGCCATATAAACCTGTGGTACGGAGAAACCCACCCTGAACTTTCTACGAACATTGCAACATAAATTCACTTCTTAAGCATAAATATCTTTCAAATTTGGAATGTTCAATGTCTTCATTAACTCCACTCATCCTCCAGCACATTATCCTCCTCCTCTAGCTCGTCGTCTAAGATGTTATTATTGTCCATGTTATCACATGCTTGGCCTGAGCAATTGCTGGTGCAGTTTAGACCACTCCTTCTGCATTCACAATTACGAACGCATTCATCTTCGCAAGTACACATTATAAGGGACAGTAATTCTTGAGGGGCTGCAGGACGTGCTGTTGTAATTGGTGTCAGGTGGTCGCCAATCTTCTTCCAACCCCACTCGAGTGGATCCTTATCTTCATTCAGCCACTGTTGTACCTGGTGGTAGGTCCTAACTGAATGCTGTCTGGACGCTCCTGAAGTGGGGGGTAGTGCATCCAACTTCAGTAATGCATGTATAGGCTGCTTTGCAATCGCTTTCAAGTAGGACTGGTAGCGGAGACAATCTAGATCTTCAGTGTTCTTGGCTCCAAACATTGCAAGTAGGAAGTAATTTACGTATGTACTCATTATGGAAAAGCGACTGTTGTTTTTGATGGTTACGAACGAAGTAACACAAAGGATCAAGAACACCTACGAAGATCACGTTCCAACATTGTGGTCAAAGTAGAAGACTCAATCCATGTCAACATAAATCAAAATGAATTTTTAGCTAGTGCTAAAAACAAGATTGGTCTAATAACCCTTCTTTCATCGCACTTGCAACAATGTGGTTGCACAGTTCTTCAAGCATCGGATGATGCTGACCTATTAGTAGTCTTAACAGCTATTGATGAAGCGAAGAAAGATGTTCAAACGTGTGTTATTGGTGATGACACTGACTTATTAGTACTGTTGAGTGTCCACGCACCTTCAGGGAATAAACTGAAAATGGTCGTACCTAAAAAAGGAAATCACCAGGAAAAAGTGTACATTATTTCTGACATTCAGCAAGGCATTGGGGATATGAAAGATGTACTTCTGGTTACATACGCCTTCACAGGATGTGACAGTGTCTGCTGTCTGAAAGAAGGGAAAAATTGCACCTCATAGGAAAGTTCAAGCCAACAACGTTCTTCGTGAAAAATTTCTGGTCTTCAACAACCCCAAAGCCGACCCCAGTGCAGTGGCTGATGCAGGAAATTACTTCCTACTTGCAATGTTTGGAGCCAAGAACACTGAAGATCTAGATTGTCTCCGCTACCAGTCCTACTTGAAAGCGATTGCAAAGCAGCCTATACATGCATTACTGAAGTTGGATGCACTACCCCCCACTTCAGGAGCGTCCAGACAGCATTCATTTAGGACCTACCACCAGGTACAACAGTGGCTGAATGAAGATAAGGATCCACTCGAGTGGGGTTGGAAGAAGATTGGCGACCACCTGACACCAATTACAACAGCACGTCCTGCAGCCCCCCAGGAATTACTGTCCCTTATAATGTGTACTTGCGAAGATGAATGCGTTCGTAATTGTGAATGCAGAAGGAGTGGTCTAAACTGCACTAGCATTTGCAGCAATTGCTCAGGCCAAGCATGTGATAACATGGACAATAATAACATCTTAGACGACGAGCTAGAGGAGGAGGATAATGTGCTGGAGGATGAGTGAATTTAATAAAGACATTGAACATTCCAAATTTGAAAGATATTTATGCTTAAGAAGTGAATTTATGTTGCAATGTTCGTAGAAAGTTCAGGGTGGGTTTCTCCGTACCACAGGTTTATATGGCCTAGGCCTGTGGAAGCCTCTTTTCCCTTAAAAAAGAGTGCCCCTTGATAAGGTGGTGAGGTTGTCGTTTCTTCAAGAGCTTATCACTAACATACCACCGGCCACTGAAATAGCAACATTCTTTTACAAAGCTTATTTTTTAAAAAAATTATCGAAATTACGAAAAAGTTAACATTTACACCGTCTGTAACTCTTGAACCGTACCATTTAGAGTGATTATGAAAAAAACCATTCTTATTTAAAATTTAACGTAGAACATTTTTGTATATAACAATTTTTAGGATAAACCGCTTAGTTTTTGAAATATTTACGAAAAACTAAAAAAACTAGTGATTTTTCAAATTCCCCTCCCCCTCACCCCCAAACCCGACGCTCAAAATGGTGTAACTTTTTACCATAGAATAAGGGGGCTATGTAGAGCAATTTGGTGTTGGAGAAAAACTTTTACTTTGGATGTTGAGGTTTAGGTCTAATTACACCGTACTAAAAACATTTGTCATATGTATTGGTAAAATTCCTGATTAGCATTAAAAAATAAATTGTCCCAAACTATTCCCTCATGTTTTGTACCACCATCCCCACCAAGCCCACCATATCTATGATCGGTATTTTCATCAGCAACACTCTTTCATGGGATAATCATGTCAGATCCATCGCAAAAGCTGCTTCACAAAAACTCGGATTCTTGTTCCGTGCGAAAAGCTACTTTACACCTCAACAGCTTCTCATGATCTACAAAGCGCAGATACGGCCTGTTCTAGAATACTGTTCCCACATATGGGGTTCAGCACCAAAACATACGCTGATGCTCTTAGATTCCATCCAGAGAAGAGGCATCCGCCTGGTGGGTGACGCCACACTCACTCAGTCTTTGACATCATTGGAACACCGTAGAAAGGTCGGCGACCATCACTTTTCTATCGATACTTCCACGGGAAATGTGCTTCGGAAATCTCTGCTATCATCCCTTCACTAGCAATACAAGTCAGACGAACTAGACAAGCCCAGTCAGCACATCCTTTCGTGGTCAACCTCGAAAGATGTCGAACAGCACTGTATCAAAACTCCTTCATCCATAGAAAGGCTAGGCTCATTGCCTGAGGAAGTATTCCCAACAACATATAATCACCAGAAGTTCAAAAAAAATTCCAATACCTACCTTCTATTCCTATCCTCCCTAGGAACACACGATGTTCTTTGAACATTATAGGGATTCCCTATCGTGCGCTCCAAGCGATAAAAAAAATATAGCTCATAATACATTTGTGTTGATAATAATTATATTGATTCACACTAGAGGACATTTTGACCCGGTAAACGCTCGAGTAAACGCGAAGGTAAACGTGACAACACGGCGCACGAATTGTGGGCGTGGTCTTGTCAGTCAAGTCTCCAACATTTACATGATATTTTGTCATGGAGTATGAGAAATATTTGGACATGCTGGTTGCTCGAAGAAGTCAAGAATTTACTATGATATCATGGGTTCCTTCACTATGTTTTATTCAATGACAGGACTCTAATATCTTTTTGATATTTTGATTATAATTGTTGACTTGGCAACCTTGCTTCATGAGTGG